ACAGGGGTGGGCGGATGAGAACAGGATGGGTTTCAACACTGACAAGTGCAAGGTGCTGCACCTGGGGAGGAAGAACCAGCAGCAGACCTACAGGCTGGGGAACTCCCTTCTCATCAGTGCAGAGGCAGAAAAGGATCTTGGAGTCATTATTGATGCCAAAATGAACATGGCCCAACAGTGTGGGGATGTGGTCAGGAAGGCCAACCATACCTTGTCATGCATCCACAGATGCATCTCGAGCAGGTCCAAGGACGTGATCCTCCCCCTTTATGCGGCACTGGTCAGGCCACAGCTGGAGTACTGCATCCAGTTCTGGGCACCGCACTTCAGGAATGATATGGACACCTTGAAACGGGTCCAGAGGAGGGCCACCTGCATGATCGGGGGCAGCAGGGGAGACCCTACAAGGAGAGGCTAAGGGACCTGAACCTGTTCAGCCTCCACAAGAGAAGGCTGAGGGGGGGATCTAGTGGCCTGTTACAAACTAGTCAGAGGGGACCAGCAGGCATTGGGGGAGTCCCTGTTCCCCTGAACAGTACCAGGAGTGACAAGAAATAATGGTCACAAGCTGGCAGAGGGTAGATTCAGACTAGACATCAGGAGGCGCTACTTCACAGTCAGGGTGGCTAGGACCTGGAACCAACTTCCAAGTAAAGTGGTGCTGGCTCCTGCCCTGGGGGTCTTTAAGAGGAGATTAGACAATCACCTGGCTGGGGTCGTTTGGCCCCAGCATTCTTTCCTGCCATGGCAAGGGGTCGGACTTGATGATCTGCTCAGGTCCCTTCTGACCCTACCAACTATAAACTGTGAAACTATACACATGTTTTATATAATTAGAAGACAAGTCATGAAATTATACACCAGAGAGCCTATTAAAAAATGTACTAACTTGACACTGTAAAGAAAAGTCCCACCAAGAAATCCTATAGCCAAAAGTAGATGATGAGATGCAGCCAGAATGTTTCCAATATTTTTGCCTGAGCCAGGAAGAAAAATGACTGGATTATTTGAAAAAGGATTTCACAAATGAATGATTACAAGAGTGGCAGGTCAGGCCCTCATTCTGCTGGCTGAAACCTCACAGTGTTATACTTTAGTTGTTAGGGGCTGGAAGGGACCTTACAGATCATTGGGTCCAGCCCCCCTGCACTTGGACAGGAAAGACTGCTGGGATCAGATGACCCCAGCAAGATGGATTTCCTTCTTTTTCAAACTCCCAACCTTGCACCTGATTAGCAAATCTATTTTTGCTGATCTAGTGTCTTTGGTAACATACGGTTGACGTCTAGTGTCTTCTCTTCCAAAATGTAGCAGGGCTCTAAGGCCTTTTCTGCCTCTGCACTGACAAGAAGAGAGCCAGGAAGACTCCTCAAGTGCCAGTTGCTGAGGTAACTAGAGGGAGCTAATGATCCGCGCCTGCCTAGCCAGCTGACAAGAAGGAGCAGGGCCTGGCTCCTATATAAACCACAGGCAGGAGGCCAGGCGGCATTCCCTTCCAGCAGCTAAGGAAGAAGCAGCTCCCTGCCAGAAAAGAGAAGTAGAGCCGGGATGCCAGAGCAGCGTTGGTCACTGCGGTGGGATAGAGAACCCTGATAGGCCTGAGCGTAGTTTGGCTGGAGGCTCATGTTTGCATTGTAGCCCAGGGGCTTGTGTTTATGTTGTTGTTTGTGTTTGCTATTGATTACACTGGTGGTTTGGGTGAGGCTATTAGGGAATGGAGGAGGCCTCATAGGGGACTCACAATAGTTTGGGGACCCCAGCACCAGTGAGGGCACTGCATAGATTCATAGATGTTAGGGCCGGAAGGGACCTCAATAGATCATCGAGTCCGACCCCCTGCATAGACAGGAAAGAGGGCCG